ACTCAATCGTGCTTGGTCTAGCTGATCATTTGTGAATAACTGATATTGAGATGGGTTTAGGTTAACTTTAGGAATTTCTATTATTATATTGCGAACTCTTTTTCGAAGATGATTGTTCTGAAAGATTGAAACTTCTTTTGATTACTTGATTACTTTCTGACTAGATGATCGCTTTGGTGACTCAAACTCCTTTATAGTGTATTTCGGGTTTGGATTCCAATCTATTGCCTTTCAAAAAGGCTCTATACAATATCAGATATAAAGTGAATAATCAGTCAATGGAGAGCTAGGGTTACTTTCATACTTCGCTCTAAATACTATAGTCAGAACCCCTATATCCTCTGCATCTATTGTCTCCAAATTATTATTATCTTCTTTGACGAAACTCCTAGGATCAGGTATTATTACCTTCTATTCCTAAACAGCTAAATTCACAGGCTCGCTATATCCTATCCGCATTTGGGCATTGTAATCTGTAGGAGTAGCAAAAGCCGGTTTTCTATTCATATCTTCTAGCATTGGAGTAATATATAGCGATGGGTCCCCACCATTTTCTGGCGCTGGAGAGCTGTTTGATGGTTCGGGGGACAGTTGGATAAACTTTCCTTTGCTTAATATCTTGCCCATTCTTTACTTTCCATCCTCTAGATAATTACCTTCTTCAGAATTCTCAGAGTGTGAAAAAGATGATTGATTATCTAAAATGCGTGCGGTAAATAAGTTTAGGGATGATAACTGGTCTACCAATACGATAAAGATATCTGTATTGTTATTATTGTTTTTGATGAGGGTTCTATTTATATCTATATGATTAGTAATATCCAATAGTCTAGCTGACTATCTCAGCTGATTCGCGGGCATAGCGTTAACCTGTTAGCTAAAGTAATCCTGTTTATAAGTAAATATTTCATCAAAAACGATATTCCGAGAGACAATAACCCAATCGAGCGTTGGTATCCAGATGCGGTAGATCCGTATGCCAGGGATATATTCAACTAAATATCCAATGTGTGCTTGAGGATTCGTTTTATATTATTTTATTAGTGCTCTAGCCTCGTGTTCCTTATTTAAGGGGTACGCTTGGCATCCATATTTGTAAGTTGAACTCCAGTCAGGCCGAAGATTATCAGTAATCTTGGTAGTGAGTGACGGATTACTTTCTTTCAGGTATGATTGGAATCACTTATCTAACATTTGATTCGGTGACTTGAATGATCTCGCCTTCAGGGGACTAATGTTATAGAGGTAGGTAGCGGCCATTATAGCCTCTGCCCAGAGCTTGATTAGCAATCCTGCGGACAACCGCATTTTGATTTGCTTGGTTACCAACTCTTGCCCTGCTTGCTCAGTTCCTTTATTAGTCTTGTGAGTATAGCTAGGGGAGAGCTTAAGCTCGATTCCCTCAATCTCAATCCATTTTTCAAATGCTGTGTAACCTATAATTCCGATAACAGAGATATCGTTGTCCTGCTTGATCACTATAATCGAAAATCCATACTTCCTGTAAACCTAGATAAAGTAATTCTGAATAATCAGGAACATCTCATTATAGGTCCTTCTTATCAAGAAATAGTTAAACAGCTTTCCGCTATACATTTCTTTAATAACCAACAATCATGTTGCTCCGTTGAGTATATGAGAGAAGTCAAACAAGTCCCATTATATTTTATAGAAAGATCTGGGTGATTGACAATTACTAAATGCTTTGAAGATCATCTATTTTGTATATGTATATGCACAATCAAAGTATTCTTATCTTAGAGGGCCTTTGATCCTTATTCCTTTTACAACAAATATCAAATGTTCAAGCACTTCCTTTTCAAGATGTTCCGCTCTTTCATGCTATAATTCTGCTTAATCCTTCTTTGGGATTAGAGTGTCCCTTGATTGTCTAAAGGATTTGTTAATCTTACAAGAAGCAGTAGGATATATAAGATTACAATTTGAAATTGGAATAAAAGAATAAAAGGAACAAGGCTTTATTTCTAAGAATACAAGGTTGCTGTGTCTAATACACTGAGTATATACCTCATTCTCTATTATATCCTCAAAGTGTAGAGTAGTATCAAAACCACTAAACCATAAATCTAATTTAAACAATCATGCCTCAGAAACAATATTGATATGGAAACCAGAAATCAAAGCGATGTCTGTAAGGATCAGATCCTTACCATTAAGAATGCCTCTTATTGTTCTCTAGTCTTTTCCGATAATTTGGTAGGATACTAATCCTAAATCTATCTGATCATTCTTGGAGGATTAATAATATAATTGATTATCCAAAAGAGATATATTGTTAACAATATGTAATGCTCCACAACTATCAAGGAGGGTAGAGTTATAGAATTCAAACTCTGGTCTTGAAATCAAGTTGGTTGCGAATACTTTCAGTATGGTAACATCTATGAATTTGTTTGGCATTTTGGTAATAGGTGGAGTGGTATTATAAAATGATTCTTTTATTTATCCCTTGCTCCTAAAAATGTTGTAAAGGTACTTCCACTCGTTCATGATTTTTTGTCTAATCTCCTTAATCTGATCTGCGGAGAGAGTTGTACTTGGGTAATCAATATATTTCCTGGTTAAAGCAATTTCCACCTTGCTATAATTCTTAGGATTTTATTTGTAAAAGTTGCATCTTTGTTTATCTTTCTTAGATATGCAAGGACATTTTGCTTTCCCAATGTTTTTGTTAGAATGGAAACCTTTGGATTGATCTTGTGAAATTCCTTTGGATGGAATAGGTGGTTTGGGTTGCTCGATAGTATAGATTCCTTTTGCCTTAGATAATGTAGTATCGCAGCTTATAATACCCTCAAATATCATAGTTATCTGTTGAAGCGTTTGATATTCTTAATTTAAGTAAATCTTTTTATCGATCTTATCGATTTTGTATTGAGCTTATGAAAATGCCATCCTGATTCTAATAGTGTTAAGGAAAGTGCGGATGGCTAATAGTCTATGAGTATCTGGAAATCTGTATGTAGATACTTTTGAGTAGACAATATCCCAATCCCGAAACTATTTGATTGGATCAGTTTGTCCACTGGATATCTAAACAATCAGTGCATGGTATTCGGACTAAACAATCATTTCAATGATTTGGTGGGATGGTGCCAGTTTGTTACAAAGCGAGAGGACTACTTTATGAAGTGGCTGAGCCTTTAATCCCTTATTTGAGAAAGATAATTCCATAAGATGAGCTAAATCAACAGTTGATTGGATCTATTCATAGACTTGTCGATAGGATTTATACTTATCATCATATATCATTTTCTCATTATGATATAACCTATCAAGAGTAATAAATAAAGGAATTATATCGATGACAAATATAGGTATAGGCTTAAATGGTAGCGAAAAAGCAATTGGGTGATCAATTGATTCCTTCATTTTTGTATCCCCATCTTCGCTTTTCCGTTTAGGGTACTTGATATAATATTCAACAAGCTCTGCCTTATAGGCGTATTGCTTAGCCCTGTCCTGTTCCTATCAAGTATTTTCGAGAGTTGGAGGAATAGGTGGAGTTGCGGTCAGTTAATCGATTACTTCAAATAATAATTCTAAGGAAAAAGAGACTAAAGGATTTGTCTTTGATAGAAGTTCAGAATCAATCTTATCCCAAATATCTTCTAGCTGATATTTAACCCTAAGAGCATTGTACCAGGCTAGCCAATCCGATTAGGTGGTAAGATATACCGATGGATGTGTATGTTGTGTTGATATGATTGATCCGGGTATTTGGATAATGAAAATTTGGATTTTCAGATATGGATCGTGATATACCCACTTTTGATTATAAGAGTAGTCTATAACAAGATAGCTGTATTTAAACGCAAACCGGGCTTATAACTATCGTATAGGACAATAGTATATTATGATGGAGGGGAATGATTGAACAATAATAATATAAGTATAAGAATATGTATATCTCCTCATTTATAGTTAGAACTGATCTCTTTTTGTAGAAAAAAGATCGGATTATATACTGGGTGATCTTCGGATACCGATCACGGGAGCGGTGATCGGTCCTGCGGCCGATCCGGTTATCGTTGTTCCGCTCCGGAGTATTCTATATAATGAATACCTGACCATCACATGATCTGATCCACGTGGTCTACAACACCGTTTCCGTCACAAAAAGTAAGCTTTTAAGAAACAGATTTAATACTATTTGATTTTGAAACTGTATTTTCAAAACTGGATATTAGAATTCGTATATCTACTCCCCCTTTTTTCAATCTAGATTTGTGAATCTCTCAAACCCCTTACAATCTAACTAAAGCTTTTTTGCAATCAACTTTAGTAAAATCTCGAATAGTTTGTTATCAATCAAGTTCTCCTATATCTATATTTGAAACTATATTGACTCTAGCTAAAGGCACAAAGAGATTAGCTTATAAGAATATACTTTTAAATACAGAGAATTGTATATTTCAAAAGGCAAATAAAGTATTAAGCAAATATCGATGCACTAAAAAGATTCAATTACACAATGAAGAAGTACTTATTAGATAAAAAGCTGAAGATATATTATCTTAGTAAAAGATTGATATTCAGATTCAATGCGACAAGCATCAAAAAGAGGGGAATTCTAATAGGGAAGTATCTTTTAGTTGATGTTGTAATAAGTGTGGAAGATCAGATTATAATTCAAGAACTTGTCAAATCAATGTAATAGATCCTAGATTATTAGATTCTTAATAGTTTTAATCAATTGATTTGATAGTTGTGGAATAATATGGATTTAAATATGATAATTGAGGTGAAAGTGGCCCATATGATGATATGGCCCACATGATGATAAACCATGTTAATTGTGCGACAACTTTACTATCTTTCATTCTAATTCAATCTTCTTCTCTTTTTTGCACCGAGGTATCGAAAGTCAAATATTCTCAACACTGGAAATTTCAGAGACCCCAATGCTTCAGAAGTTCTTTCCAAAAAATAATCCAGTTCAGTACCACAGACTACTATTACTTCTTGTCTAAATAATCATGACGGAGGGTCTTGCAGAGTTCATTGTCCCAGGCATCTCAAAGCCTTGCCAGACTTGGTACAAAGTAGTCGGCGACCTCACGACGTCTCAAGTACCTCTGATCGTATTGCATGGAGGGCCCGGAGCTTGTCACGATTATCTGCTTCCATTGGAAGATCTTACGCCATCTATTCCTCTCATTTTCTACGACCAGATTGGCAATGGACTATCAACTCATTTGCCAGAAAAAGCTGGCGATGAAGCTTTCTGGAGTGTCAAACTATTTGAGGACGAGCTCGATAATCTTATCAGTCATTTAGGATTAAGAGATCGATTCATTGATGTCTTCGGCCATTCATGGGGTGGAATGCTCGCAGCTGTATGGGCATCTGATCCAGCAAGATCGAAGAACCTCCGTCGCTTAGTCATCGCAAGTAGTCTGGCTAGTATGGAAGTATGGAAGATTGGCCTTGATTCACTCAGAAAGCAACTTCCGTTGGAGATTCAGAAGGTCTTGGATCGTTGAAATGATAGTAAGGATTATGAAAGCCCGGAGTATGAAGCTGCTTTAGAAGTCTTCTACAAGCGGCATCTGAGCCTCACGAGACCATGGCCAGCTCCTGAAGTTCAGGCTGCCTTCAACTGGTTTGCAAAAGATGCGACGACGTATGGTACTATGTAAGGCTACGAATATTCCCCTCAGTACAATCTACTGACACAATATAAGGTATGGTCCTTGCGAGCTAGTCCCCGCTGGAAATCTTCGTAACTGGACGTCGATTCCAAATTTGAGCAAGATCAAGGCACCGACACTTCTCATGAATGGAGCAGAAGACGAGGCACAGGACGTCGCAATGCAACCATTTTTTGATCACATCAAAAAGGCTAAATGGATTGTCTTGGATAATGCGGCACACTTTTGTCACGTTGATCAACGAGAAAAGTTCATGAAACATTTGAGAAACTTTCTCGTAGACGAATAGAAGCAGATCTGGTTGTAGATCTGTTTGATTAGTGGAGGTCTAGATGAGAGGATTGTTTGGTCTTCTCCGCAATTCATCGTTGTCTCCTACAAACACAGTGCACAACCCTTCCACATAGCCTTTTTGCGTAGGTCAAATCAATTTTTTACCGGTACATGATGTTTTTGTGCAAATTTCTCCGGTCAAAATTAGGCTTGAAGCAACCAATTGCCGTCGAGAAGATCGTTCATACAACCCATTCGGTCATTCATTGATGGAGAACCTAGGTACACAATCAGTCACACATAGCTAGATGGTATCTTCCAATTGTCGCTCACCTACGCTTGTTGCTAATTAATAATTCATGCTCAACTATTTTTCAAAAAATAATGTGAAAGAGAATTACGTTAATCTAACCGAGGAATCCCATTATTATTCTAGATTTCTGGGTTTTATTTTCAACTGCATACAAACACAGACATATGTAAGTACAGGCATTCGTACTAACGGATTTCTACTCCGTTGTCACATTCCGTTGACTTGTTTTGTCGACTTGCATGTCTACAATAATAGAGACATATAGCCATGATTAATACTCTACTAAATGGATAATTAATAATAGCAATCTAATCTACTTTCGAAGATTATTTTAGAATAGGAAACTATGAATACCAAAAACTCATCATGATTTATGGAAAACTATTCTGTAGTATAGCTTTACATTTCAATCGAACTAGTCACCGAGGGAAAAGAACTTTCAAGCTACGAACTTCTACTAGCGTAATTCATACTTAATTGTTATTTATACGATAATTTTACTATAAAGCGAGTTACGAATATCGATCCGAGTATCGAGGTGGAAATTCACCTCGGAGCTTGAGACTAGGTAATATTATATATACATACGCCCTCTTTTTCTATTAGATGAGGAGCAGTTCTCTATTTAATTATACATATAATCCTAATATTCATTTATTATCTAATTACCACTTCTACTAGTAACATACTAATAGTTCTATATGATGATGATATTCTTATTTTTGTTCTTCTAAATCAAATTTTAATTTCTCAAGCAGATTGAAAATTGAGAAACGTCTAAAGTTAGATACATAAGCTTGACTAGGTGTCTCTAATGGCCTTTCTCTCTATTGGTTTCTCTTATCGGTCATTCCGTATATTACTCGTCGGCTGATCGCAAGGTGTACTATTATACCATTTGTATGTGTTACACAGTAGCAGCGACATGGGAAAAGCATGACTATTATTTGCCTCGGCGGCACAGCATTCAAAGACAAACTACCTGGATTTCGTAGGCCCCCTCAAAGAACCTCTTCCAAGATACCGTCCCAATATTTTGTTTGTTTCATCATTGAAGCGTGGCAATGAGTCATGGAGGAACAAGGTCAAGAATCTCTCCCAAGAGATGCCACCAAAGAAGAAATCGAAACTCTCAGTCATGAGTCTGATAAAATACCTTTCACTGCTTGGCTCTTAGCACTCACAGGTGCCGCAGCACAGCTTGCACGCTTTGGAATTATGGTGGCGTGGCGTAAGTAATCAATATTCATAACGATTAGTCTACTAACAAACAGCAGAAAATTACCTTCAAAATCCACCCGGTGATAAAAAACTCCCTGGAGCCTTAGGCTTAGGAGAGTCCAACGCAACGATAATCCAAAACGCCTTCTTGTGCTTCCAGTATTTAACTCCAATGCCATTTGCATTGCTATCAGATTCATGGCTCGGTCGATACAAGACTATGCTTTTCAGTCTTGGGTAGGTTTTGGAAAACTTCTATCTTTTTGACAACAGCTAAATTTTTGATGAATAGGCTTATGGTTATCGGATACATAGTGCTGTTTGTGACTGCTCTTCCAAGTTCGCTAGAGCATAAGGCGGGTCTGGGAGGCCTTATTGCTACTATGATTTTGACAGGCCTGGGGCAAGGGGGATTGTCCGCAGTAATATATCCTTTTATTGGCAAGGGTATTTGCTATCAATGCTTCTGTGGATAAGTTTTTTTTTTATCAGACTTTCAATGCTAATAATGTAACAGGTGACCAAATCCCCGAAAGGAACCCAACTATCGAGCGAAACTCAAAAGGCAAGTTAGTAGTAACCGATCGGAAATTGGCTATACAATATATCTTCAGTGGTTATTACTGGTATGTTACACAATCTCAGCTTGTTATCTAGTCTTACTCTCTTTCCAACTAATATCTCGATCGAGGATGGTTAACATTGCCGCGCTTTCTTCCATTCCGACCACTTTTATGGATAAGTATATCGGGGTTCTGGGCTGCGTATCTCCTGCCAACATGTATCTTGATAGTGACGGTCATTCCTGTCATCGTCTTTAATAAGCGACTAGGTGAGTCTCAATACGGTGCAAAACTTAGCTTGAAAGAACAACGTAGCTCAAAGGTCTCTAGTCAAACTACCACCTCAAGGCAACATTCTTTCCCAAGCCGGACAAATGCAATCGCAAGGGGTTTCAAACGATACCATCCAGTCAATCAACGCAATCGCATGTATAATCATGAGTCCTCTTATTCAACACACCCTCTCCTATTTTCAACGACGCAAAATCCCACTCGGGCCCATCCTACGAATGACGATAGGATTCTTCTTCATAGCAGCGGGAATAGGCTATGCTGCTGGTTTCCAACAGCTCATCTATTCGCGTGGACCATGCTACCACTATCCCCTCGAATGCGCAGCTGCACGAAACCCACAAGACAGTGCTCAGAACATCAACGTCCAAGCAAATAAAGTAAGCGTATGGCTGCAAACACCTCTACAATTCCTTCTCTCTATCGGAGAGATACTCTGTCTAGTCTCGCTAAGTGAATACACATACAATGAAGCACCCACGAATCTCAAAGCATTAGTTCAAGCTTTCCAGGCGGTGGCGGCAGCGCTGGGAGCGGCGATTGGGATTGGTTTGGGTCCGGTGTCGAAGAATCCTTGGTTGGTTAATAAGTTTGCTTGTTTGGCGGGAACGATGGCTATTACTGCTGTGGTTTTTTGGGTGGTTTTTAGAAGTCATGATGTTGATTATACAAAAACGGATGTAGTTGATGCTGTTGACAGTAATGAGAATGGTGGTCAGAGGGGTGATCTTGAGGCTGTGGTTTGTAGGAAGGAAACGGCTGATGCCGATCCTCATCATGTAGAGAAGCTTATCTCAACTAATTCTGTCAAGGCTGTGAAGACTTCTTTGTAAATCATTATCGGTTAGTCTAAGTCTGCGATCACTGATTAGTGGAAACAGATGCTCTATATTGATTGGTTTCATCTATATCTGAAAATATTCTGTCACTTGGACAATTCTGGAAGGATTTCAAGTAGTCCATGCTGCTAAATTCTCTTACAGCTTCACAGAATAAAACATGAAGCTAGATATCCTGAAAATTTCGACACTAGTCAACAATAAAGAACATATCAAGTTTGAGGCCCATTAAGCATTATCAAAACCATCATTTGCAAGGTTGAGTCTGTAGAATGGATATCTACTTGTTATCCGCAGTGTCTGCGGCGTCAGCTGAATTTTGCTAGTAGCTAGGCTCCATCTGATAAATATTGGTGCTTCACGGTGAGGGCGGAGTGCGGGTATCCTTGGGGGACGTTGCGGAATACATTTTTTTTGCGCAGTGTATCTAGATTGCTAAGCTTCTCGTGCCCAGATCTAGCGCAGAGTTGTTTGCAGCTCCTCATTATTACGTGACGATTTATCTTTTCTTGCTTACATCCCAAAAAACTCAAGTATAAAACCCCAGCCTACTAACTTATCTCTGCACCTGAAACCTAAAGAAATCCTTCACAAACTGTCCGCCCTCCCCCAAAAGCTCCATAAACCCATCATCAAGTGACAGTGCCAACGCATTCACAGCCATATAGAGACACACCAACCCTCTCAATGCTCCAATTTCACCACCCGACCCCTCTTCTCCGCCTTCTTCTGCGTATACATATCTTGCAAGATCGATCACATCCCCGATATTTTCGTTTTTGAGCTGGAAAATGCACAGTGTTTTGTGGAGTTTGTGTAGAGCTAGCGCTTTTAGCGAATTTACGAGTCGGAAATCTCCCAGAATATATAGTGCGGCATGGCTGATGAATACATTGGAATAGCTTTGGTACGGGTAAAACCATTCCCTAGGCTCACAGGTGTAGTCGTAAGTATTGCGCAAGGCGAGTAGTGGCAAAGTAAGCTGCTTGAAGTCGGCTGCGCATTTGACCGGGTAACGTTCTGGATTTGTAATTCGTCGAAAAAGCCAATTTAGTCCCACCTCTGATGTTGTACTTGAGAATACATGTGCCAGTGGCCGTTCTGCTGGCTCCGGTGGTGCTTTTGGTAATGGTGTTTCGCAAAGGGGTTCTATCCCTCTCTGCCCACCCAAATTCTCCTCCTTCAGTTTCTCCTTCATATTTTCTATAGAAAGTCGCAGGTAAAGCTCTTCTGAACTATCAGATCTGTCTTTTCTCATCACCTTGTACTCAGGGATAGGCACTGTGTAATCGCCCGTATACGCAAACTGCACGAACCGCTCAAACGTCTCCTTACTCACATCATCCCATACCGTACATTCAGCTTGAGATTCAGACATCCCTCCTCTCATCAGCGCCTCCAACGGTCTTGAAAGTTGAACAATAGCCTCTTCATGCACGAAGAATTCCGTTGCATGGCCATCGACTTTTTCGCCCACGATGAATTTGAAGAGTCGAGAATTGAGGATACTGTTAAGAGTTTCTTAGTAAAGATTTCGATACGTAATCTTGAATATCCACGTCAAACAGAATTTAGAAGATTGAGTGTACTCTTGAAATGAGGCTGGCATCTTAAATAATCAAAGTAGCTTATTTTCCGACCCTCTACAAACTCTTTCAAAAATGCCCGCGATAACTTTCTCCCATATATTCAGAATACAAGAAGAGTGCAGACCAAGAAGATGGAGATCAAGAGCGCAAAGAGACAAACAAGTGGGATGCTACAAGATATGAGGGGTTTGCACATTCATTCGATGTAACCCTACACCATTCGAGATCTTAGCCTATTGGCTGCTACATACATCGAGGAAGATCGAAGCCAATCAAAAACCGCCGACGGGTAAATCGTGAATAAATAAAATAAGTCAAAACACAAAGTTCAGATTGGCTGGGTCTAGTTTTCGGCTTAAAACGCAATGGCTGTCTACTTCGCGCTTAATTAACAAATGTGATTAGTTGTTAACATGTGGCTATGAAACCATTTATACTTTTAACGCTTATTTACGATTCTCATGAAATCAATCGGATATTTTATATAGCATAGGTACCCAAAGAACACAGCAGATCAAAGTGATATATCCGAAAATCCAAACAAATACCTATTTATTTGAAAATCACGTGAAAGTTTACCTCCTTCGTTAACTTCAACCGCAATCACTTCCAACATTCATTCCCAACTATCTCCACTTCCCTCCCCATCAACTCTGCCCTCCGAATCACAGCAATACAGAAAATAAAAGAAGATAAAAATAAATATCCCCGAGAAACCAACCCCCACTTCTCCACTTCTCCACCCACAACCTCGAAATCAAAAACAAAATCAAAAAAACAATTTACAAATCCAACCAACACAAATTTACTCCCCCCTACTCCCCCCTACTCCCGGATTTTCAAATTCGCCTACCTAGTATCTAGTATCTAGTATCTCTCAACACTATACTCTATGCTCCAAATCCCGAAACCTTTTATTTTCTTTTCGGTTGATGATGGTGATGGATATCGAGGAAGGAGATGCAGATGTGATGCAAGAATATCCCTTACAATTATTTTGGATATCCCATCTCGACAAATTTCACCAAACCCATCATTGTAATCTCTTAACCTCTAACTCCCAGATCTAATCCAATCCAATCCAATCCCATCTAATCCAATTGAATTTTCCTCTCCTCTCCTCTATCACAACCATATCCATCCCATATATCTATAAATCTCAGAAACCCCATCCCAAGACTCATTCTCAGAAGATATCCAACACAATTAAAACAATTATATTATATCACATCATATAAACATAAAATTCCACACCCAGTCATTCATCTGATCATAATATCTATTCGGAATACCTACATATTACATATTTTATCCATCCTATCTACCTATCGACCCACTTCTATGTAATCCACCGCCAGCACCACTACCGCCAACCAGTCATAACCTTTTCTCTCCAGATCATTAAAAATCATCGTATGAATATCCTCTCTTCACTGTTTCTCCAACCTCCCATATACACACCCCTCCTCCCTTTGCTTTTTTTTTCTGCCACCCTCCTCCCCTTCCACAATCCCTCTATAAACAAAAGACACATACCCAAACAGACCACCCATATATCCATCCATCCTCATCATCGCGATAAACACACATATGCGAAAAATTAAACCAATGAAGAAAAATTTCCCTTTTTTCTTTCTTGAGATGAATCCAAACTCCTACACACCATACCATCATGCAAATACCTCCTGAATGAAGAAACAAATCAACTGGATATCATCTCTGCAAACGTGATCTTTCTGATCGCGAACAAAAAGTATGCGCTCCCCCTTTATCTCAGCTCACCCCATCATTATGCACAAATAACGCTGAATTTTGTATGTCCCCTTGAAGCGCTCACACCCTCACATCCCCACATGTAATCGACCTCCGTCACCAACATTCAATTGAAAGATCCGTAACTCTTAAAATCATACCCATTCGTAATCCTGTCCTTCCCCTTCTTAGCGAATTCCTTCCCCGCACTTCTCGAATTCTTTGCATTTCCATTCGTCTTGCCAAGAACTGCACCCCCTTTTCCGTTTTCCTTTTGTGCCCCACCATTAACCGAGATTTGCGATCCCTGCGGTAAAGTATTTTGACTAGCACTCATTCCATATTGGTTAACCTGCGCCATCAAAGATTTTCTCGCTTGTTCCATTGCGTCATCCGAACTATTGTCGGAATCTGAATCTGAATCGCTACCAGCATCTTTAATTCTCTTAGCTGCGGCGGCGGCAATGGCTGCTGAGGCAACCAAACCATTACTTTGAGTTAAAGAAGGGATTTTTGAGCTTGCTGGAACTGGAACATCATCATCGTCAGAGCTATCATCACTGCTACTCTCATCATCTTCCGATTCCGAGAATTCCTTGTTCAATAATTGAGATGAAAGTTGTAATTTTGATTTGGCAAGTTGACCATTTGACGAAGGTCTAGGTTTGAACATGGTTCCTTTCTGGCTATTCAGAGATGATAAACTTGCGCCGAAACCAATCGTTGGTCTAATAATCGGTCGCTTGAGGGGTGAAGAAAATGATGGACCTTGAGCTTCGATGATATCAGATGTTAGTTGTTGATCAACTTCGTCTTGGGTATTATCCTCATCGCTGCTGGAGTTCTTACGTTGATTTGTGGCCTTGATAGGAGAGACCATATTTCTCCGGGCATGGCTTGGCAATTCCGGGCTTAACCGTTGAGCTGGAGCATCTGGCATTTTCATATCCTCATCATCACTACCACCTTCACCTTCATCTTCTGAACTGTCTTGAGTCTCTTTGATTTCTGTTTTAACCTTAATGTCATTGTCCCTGTCGGAGGTATCGTCTCCCGATTCTCCTTCATCAGAAGATTCGTCCTCTGATGAAGAAGAAGCTGAATCCTGAGTGTACTTGTTGAAGGATTTACGCTCATCACCAGATGGTGCATTAGAATGAAAAACAACCGGAGATCGACTATCCCGTGGTGATGACTGATTTTCACCCATCTCGACATCTTCATCAGATTGGTCGTTGGGGTCGTTCGATTCTTCGATTTGCCGATTTGGAGGACTAATAGATCTTTTTGGCTCTTGTTTGACTGTGACCTCTTCTTCAGAATCGGAATCTTCGGAACTGGAACTATCTGAACTTGGAGGGAGTGGAATTTCAGCAGGCTTGGGTGGCGACTTTGGTTTCTCTAAGATGATATTAGTGTGTAATCATTAATTAACGATTCATTTGCATCCGTGTATGACAGAGAGATAAAATTCATAAAATTGATTTGATGACTTTCGGCATTATATTTACATACCTTTGACCGGGACTGGACGGCCGGGTGTAGATGTTGTTGCCTTTTTTGGTTCTGGTGTAATAGTCTTTCTCTCCAAGGGTATCTTCTCGGTGGAAATAATCTTAGGTGCCGGTTGAGGGATAGGCTTAGGTGTTGCAGATCGTGCCACCGAACTCGCCCGACCCGCTATCAATGGTGGTTGACTCATAGCAGATGGTTTTAGTGAGAGCTGTCTGACCGGAGTCGCACTACGATCAGGTCCAGGGCGCTTGAATGTTTTAGGTAGAGGAATAGGCGTTTGATTTGGAGCTGGGGTCTGACTAGAAGTAAGCGTAGGTGTTGTTTTCTCTTTTGGTGTATCAACGGAAGCTGTCTTCTGGAGTTGTGGCTTTATAGGAGTATTCGTCTTATCAAGGTCAAAGGAGACTCGTCTAAGACCCTTGGATGGTAATGGCATCTGAGCTTCTAGACTGGTATCCTTAGGAGCTGGGGCTCCAGGGGAAGAGCTTAATACACTTTCCGAAGAACGTGATGTTTTCAAAGATGACTTCTTTCCTCTTGGATAATGAGGCGTGGAAGACTGGCGAGGAAGTATCGCGCTGGGAGTACTGCGTTTGTTGACCGGGGTACCCTTCCTACTTTCTTGTGGAGTTTCGGATGTTCTCTTGGAGCCTTCTGGAGCTTCCGACTTCCTAGACTCCTCTTCAGCCTTTTTGGCTGCCTCCTCTTTGGCCTTCTGCATCTCTATTCTGTCATCTTCTTCGATCTGTTTGCGCAATTTCTCTTTCTCATCCTTCAGTTTTTGAGCTAGAAGAGCAGCGTCTTCTTTTTGTTTTCTTGTAGCTTGCTTCTGCCTTTCCTCTGCCTTACGTTCCTCCGATTTCTCTTTACGCATTCGTTCGGCTTTTGCAGCCACGGCTTCTCTTTCGGATTCACGTCGACGTTCCTCGGCAGCTTTTGCAGCCGCAGTCCGCGCCTCCTTTGCTGCCTCCTCACTTTCTTTCTTCTTGCGCAATTCTTCCTCGCGTATCCTACTCTTTGGCGTCAAGGGTAGCTCATAAGGAGTTGAAACAGATTCAGAGGTCTTGGAAAGATGGCGATTTTGGTTTGAGGGTGAGTTAGCTAGCCTCTCAAGGCCAGGTAATCCTGCTGATGAAGACTTTTTGAGTTTAAGTTTTGATTGTGGAACCTTTATTTCCTCGGAATCCGAACCAAAGTCGTCATAAATGTCTCCCTCGTTCCTAGGTGATCGATTCTTCGAGTTGCCTGATTTTGCGGCTCGCGCAATTGTTTCCGAGGTCTTTGGCTTCTTAATAGAACTTGAGTTGGGATGAGGAGGGAGTTGTGGCTCGTTTGCCATTGGACTTGTCGCAGTCGTCGAAACGGATCGACCTCTATCGGTAGCTCTCTGAATGTGATAGCTTGCACTTTTTGCTCCTGTGATGTCCTTTGGTGTGCCCTGCTTCCGTGGCGGGGGCTCTTTAAACGGGCTTACAAGTTCTTTTGGGTCGCTGTGGGGTTGCGCATTTGTATTCTTGGTAGACAACTTTGTGATATAATTAGTTATGGTATGACTTTGGCGGACAAAACGTCTCTCCACTGGCGGTGGAGATGATGGGGTTCGGGTGTCGGAGATTATGGGAGAATCCTCTCTTACATTTGGCACAACATCATTGTCCTCATCCTCATGACCTAATATAGCACTCTGTTGCGAATCGGGAATTGTGGCTTCTGGGTTCTCTGGGATACCTTCCAACCTTCCACCGGTATATGA